TTACATACTTAAACCAGCCACTGGCAATTTGACTAGCTGATTTGCAGACACCATCAGCCGGCTTGAGTCGAGCTAAGACTGGCCAATTCACACTGCTGCCACTTTTCTCTGCAACATTTTAAAACAGTTTCGTCCCGTCGCAAATCTCTGGTCTGAACTGGGCTTAAAACCCAACCAGGGGTCAGATGTATATTCAGGACTATGTAAGGATAAAGACAGACATACACCTTCTTTTTGTCAGAATTATAAAACCATGTGTATGCATGGTTCTGTTTCCTAAATCTCAGTCATTGTGGATTACTGTGGGGGCAGAAGCTTCCAATCCCACAGGTTCTCCAACAACACCAAAGCAGCTGTTATCACACACAATCATCACTGTAGCTGTGGCTCTGTATAGCACACTTATCACTGCGAACTCACATGAACCTCAATCATCACTATTAAACTCCTGAAAGGTAATAAATGGTCTGTAGCACCAGTATGAAAAACTTTTTTATAAAGTGCTTCACAGTAAACATTCAAATGAAAGAACAGCAACGCATAAAATAAAATAATGCCTCATTCTTAAGAATTTGGACAAAACTGTACTTTTTGGGGTTTTTGATTTTTCTCTTTGATTAGGCTGGAAAAAAACGATTTTGAAAGGTCAGTCTTGACTATTAAACCTTGTATGGCCCAACTTCCCAGTGATATCATTTTTTCTTAAGGCCCATACACATGCCACGTTTTCTGTGCCCTCAAATTCATTGTGTTCTGTGTAGACATGCGTTAGGCGTACTCAAATGCCAGAGCGGCTCTGCACACACATTCCGGAGCACCTATTTTGGAAGGTACAATACTGTACCCTGAGATAAGTTCAACTTTTGGGATGCAGAAGCACGCATCCCATGTCACGTCACGAGGAGCAACCAATCACAGCTGGCACATATCTTTCCCTTCATTTGTAAATATCAGTCTGTGATAAATATGGAGATTAAGTTGATCATTTTAGTGCAGGGCTGTCAGAGCTTTACATCTGTCCCACGGACAACAGGACACACAATCAGCGCCTGGAAAAAGATCAGCTCTGCATTAAATTCAGGTAAACTGGCTATGATATGGTGCTTCTTGAGTTTGCTTAGCAACCTCAGACGCAAGCTGCCACCACCGCTCTTGAAAGCTGGCACAGAAAAGACACAAGAGTAGCACCCAGCACCTGACCTCGTATCTTCAGGCTATTAAAGATGGGGCATGTGCACAGCTCCTTAAATAGCGTACACGCTGGATGTCAGAGATAAAATATGACAGACGTGACATCTTGGGGCGTCGGTGGCTTAGTGGATAGAGCAGGCGCCCCATGTACAAGGCTGTTGCCGGAGCGGCCCGGGTTTGACTCCGGCCACATGCTGCATGTCACTCCCTCTCTCCCTCTCTCCCCCTTTCACGCTTGACTGTCCTATCACTTAAAGGCTAAAATGCCCCAAAAAATATCTTTAGATGTGACATCTTACTGAGTTGACCAAATTTCTAGATTTATTAATTTCACAGCAGTCATAGTGAGGAGCCATTTTATTTCTCCGAGTGACTACGAGTTTTCATTATAAAATTAAAATACTAATTTTTAAACCATAATTCTTGTTTAATTTGGATTTAGAAGGGCTACAGAGTTGACCTGTTATTGTTGAGACACACTAAGTAGCAATTTAATTTAATGAATCTATCAAAAAATAGAAAGCTCACCAGTACCTGAGCAGCATTCCCACCTTTTTGGAAACCAGGAAGTGAGACCGGAGACCTTGTGATATAGCTAACCCCTTTATGTCTAACTAAATGATGTTATTGTTGAAATCTGACAAAGTTGACAAAAATCTGGGACACATCATTTAAGAGTTTTTCACAAAAAATATATTTACAACAAAGATGATTATGACAGTTCATTTTACATTGACGTTATCAGTACATACTGTTAGTTTTTGATTTTGAAGTTTTTAACACAATTTTTTAATTGTTTAAAGTTGTGAATTCTTGTCTGGGACAAGGCTGATTTGTGGCACAGAGCAATTTTATGAAAGCAGATCGAAATATTTTGTAAATCAGATTCATTTCATACATATTAATCCTATAAAAATAATGTTTATTTCAAGGGACATTTTTGTCCCACAAAGATGCCACTTCTACAAGTTGACGAAAAATCTGTAGATTTTGGGATTTATATTTCTAATAATTCAGGGCAATTTGTATAGATTTGTTGTTGCTGATATGTCTAATTAGGGACTGAGCCTAGAGGCAGAGGACTGCTCACAGAGCAGTCCTCGCCAAAGGCGAGAACCCTATTGTTTTTGGTGCGTTTATTATTATTTCTTTCTTTCTTTCTTTCTTTCTTTCTCTTTCTTTTTCTTTCTTTCTTTCTTCCGCCGCCTCTTTGAGCTGGAATTTGACCCCCTAAACATGCTCAAAAACTCACCAAAATTGGCACGCACATCAGAACCGGTGAAAAATTTTAGAAAATCATGACATTAACCCCTAAAGTGCCAAAATGGGCTCTCTAGCGCCACCTAGGCACACAAAAATGGCC